GGGTCAGGGGAGGGGAGGGGGCATAGGCCACCTAATCTGCAAATATGGATGGTGGGTCCCTCATTCTTGGTCCCTAAGCTAAACCAGAGTCAGTACTTCACTCTTCAGCCTCCTTCCTCTGTGTCCTGATTCACCATTCGCCCTCCTCCCTTGGGAAAGCAAGCATGCGCTTTTTGACAGTCGATTGCTGACTTAAGGAGGGTTCCTGGAAGAGCGGCTAATGGCTGTGGCCACTTAGCCCTGGCTACAATTATTATGATCACTTGGCTGGCTGTACCTTTCGTGTGCCTGCTGTCTTTTAAGGCTGTAAACAGTGCCTGGAAAGGCTGGGTAGGGAAGAGGGTTTGGGGGAAAAGGCTTCATTCAACATCCTTATTGGGTTTTTATTGAATTATCCAAACAGACCTTATTTCCGCAGAGCTGTAGCGATCCAGCCTTGTTACCATGTCCTTCTCGGTCCTGTCTTCCTCGCTAGGGACTCGCCCACCTGTGTGGCAGTGAACTCCGCGGTGGACCGGGCTCCTTATTTGTCTGGGCAGGTGGAAGGCGAAGTAGCCCTTCTCGTGTGTGTGGGCACTTATTTGTAATGTAATTATCAGACTACTTCCTGGCAGCAGAACACCTGCCTGCTTCCTGCTCCTGGGGCCTTTAAGAGGGAAGGAGCCAGGGCTCGGTGTTTGCAGAAGGTGGCATTGCTGCCCTAGTCTCCTAGGAACCCTGTGGCCAGCAGGACTGCAGCCTTACCCCCACCAGCTCTGCGCAGACCTCAGGAGCTCATTCCCATCCCTCCAAACCTGGGGCCTGCGGGGATTCATGAGTTCGGGCTGCAGGTGACAGGGAAGGGAGGCAGGTGCCACACCGGGCAGGTGCCTGCCCCCAGCCCGCCTCTACCCTCTGCAGCTTCCCTGTGGGTGTCACACACAGGTTCTGTCCAGAGGAAAGCAGAGCCACGGTCGGGAACTGTGGTCTCTCACTTCCTGGGGCTTTGTGCCCTGGGGTATTCTCACCAAAGCTGGGAAGAGGCCCACAGTCCCTTTCAGGATTTGACAAAAGCTCCTTCACACAAAGGACTTGCACCTCCCCCTTTTTTACTTCTAACTTGGGAAAAGGAATGCCTTCAGGCAAAGGAACTTCTGGCCACGGTAAGCAAGGGAAGGGGTTTTACTTTGACTTGGGACAGGGTGGTATTGGACAGCTGTTTGGTTCCCCCAGTGTGTAGGGCTGATCCGTAGACAGACGAGCTCTCCTCCTTAAAGATGCCCAGAGTAGGAATGGAGAAGAAGAATCCGAGAGCCAGATGCCCGGGCTGTCCCAATTCCCTCCCCTTGTTCCTTTAAAATTACCTCTTGTCCCTGGCTGATGAAGCTCAGACATGGGCCCCAGCGCCAGTTCCCACAGGACTTCTCACAGCATGCCTGCCACCTTCCCTCTCTGGGCAGGCAGCCATGCCCCTTAGCTCAAATCGGACTCTCCAGGCACCAGGCTGGAGTCAGGAAGTGTGTGCTCCTGTGTTCTCAGGAAGGACGGGAGAGCGTGGGTGCAAGGAGTCCTTGCACATGGGTGACAGGACAGGGAGCCAGTATTTGCCTTTTTATGTACGTGTGAAGATGATAGTTAAACAGGATCATAAACACCACGACAACTCTGGAAGACTTTGCAAACCTCTTTAGAAATTAAAGGGGATCGGGGCACCGGGGTGGCTCAGTCAGTTGGGTGTCTGCCTTTGGCTCAGGTCATGACCCCAGAATCCTGGGATTGAGCCCCAAGTCGGGCTCCCTGCTCAGCAGGGAGCCTGCTTCTCCCTCTCCTCCCTGCTCATGTGCACTCTCTCTCTCTCTCTTTCGCTCTCAAATAAACACAATCCTTAAAATGAAAGAAGGAAAGAAAGAAAAAGAAAGAAAGAAAGAAAGAAAGAAAGAAAGAAAGAAAGAAAGAAAGAGAAAGAAAGAAAGAAAAAGAAAAAGGAAGAAAGAAAAGAAAAGAAAGAAACTTAAAGGGATCTTTTCATTTTACCACTGTGGTATCAGGGGGAACTATTAACTGGCACTAAGTAGAGATCCCGTGGACCAATAAAGGAAGAAAAGACAAAGCAAAAATTTACTTTGGGTAAGATTCTTTCTAATTCTAGCCATTTATGTAAGCTCCTTCCTATGTATGCCTAATTACCATGCATTAGGACAATGATGAAATAGGTTGATTTGGGATTGATGAATCTTCTAAGTCAAATTTTATCACAACACCTACTTCTAAATGCATGCTCAACGCTGTGAATTGTGTAAGACTGATGAATCACAGACCTGTACCTCTGAAACAAATAATACATTATATGTTAAAAAAAAAAAAAAAAAGAAGATAGTAGGAAGGGAAAAATGAAGGTGGGGAATCGGAGGGGGAGACGAACCATGAAAGACTACGGACTCTGAGAAACAAACTGAGGGTTCTAGAGAGGAGGGTGGTGGGGGATGGGTTAGCCTGGTGATGGGTATTAAGGAGGGCACGTATTGAACGGAGCACTGGGTGTTATATGCAAACAATGAATCATGGAACACTACATCAAAAACTAATGATGTAATGTAATGTATGGGGACTAACATAACATAATAAAATAAAATTTTACAAAAAATTAAAAAAAATAAATAAACGCGTGCTCAAGCTTCTGGGGTTGTAGTTTGTGTGGCCCTGTGCATAGGGAGTCAGTTTTCCCGTGCTCTTTAACAACTGGCAAGAACCTTGGCCTTGAGCCTGAGTGGATGAAACCCTCTTCAGTTTGCTGACCCAGGGCCATGAGCTTGACTGCAATTCCCTGGATGCTGATTCAGTTAATGGGGATGGACAAGAAGGGGTGGTCTCAATGAGATGATTCGATAATGTGGGTGGGAGGGAAATGGAAGAGTCACATGACTTTCACATTTCAAGCTCGGGTCAATGAGTGTGTGGCCCCACCATACACAGACACAGAAAACACCGGAGAGGTGAAGATGTCAAGTTCAGTGTGGGACTCACTTGAGGTGGGGTGCCTGCAGGTTAGCTGGTAGAGATGTCCATCAAGCAACTGGATGTTCGTGTCAGAAGCTTAGGCAGCAGGTGAGGGCTGGAGACAAAGGCGTTGGCAACGCATGCATGGAAGTCACAATCCAGACAGCTAAGGACACGTGTGTGAGAAGAGCAGTGCAAAACAGGACCCCGGGGAAACCCACAGAGGAGAGACTGCGATGTGACTGGGGAGGACAGTTTATTGTCCGTAAGGTGTTGTTCTTTAATGAAAGTGATTCCGTGAAGGTGAATGAGGCTATGTCCTTCCCGGGAGAGCTATTTCAATTGACCTGTAAAGAAGAAATCTGCAGGGGCGCCTGGGTGGCTCAGTGGTTAAGCGACTGCCTTCGGCTCAGGTCATGATCTTGGAGTCCCAGGATCGAGTCCCGCATCAAGTCCCGCATCGGGCTCCCTGCTTGGTGAGGAGCCTGCTTCTCCCTCTAAAACCCTCCCCCCTCTCGTGTACTCTCTCTCTCTCTCATTCTCGCTCTCTCAAATAAATAAATCTTTAAAAAAAAAGAAATCTGCAAAAGTAAATCAGGTTCAAATTTCTTGTTAATTCTCTCTAAGAAAATTGGGAACAATGATATGTCCTCATTTAAGATTTATTGAGATGTGTTAAGAAATTGCACACGGGCTCCTCAGTCCTCCCCAGGTCTCAGGATTTGAACCTCTCTGAAGCAACCCCATGAACTCAGCCGGCCCTACTGTCCTCAGACCTGGGGACGGTGCTTTCTTGTTCCCCCTTCCTGCTGCTCCCAAAATAAATTCATCTGTGCCTCCGTTTGATTAGCCTGTTTTTATCTGAAAAAAAGTGTATAATCGTTTTTTAAAAATCCAAATAGTACAGAAGGCTATTCAGTGATAAGTAAATCTCTGTCCTACCCAGGCCCCTAATCCTCCATCCTCTCCCACCCCGCCCTGCAAAGCAGCTCCTGTTCCTGGTGTCATGTCTGTACGGTATCCTTCTGGAAATAGCCAGCCACCTGCCTTTTTGTAAATAAAGTTTTATTGGAACACAGCCAAGCCCTCTCGTTTACGCATTATCTGTGGCTGTTTTCTCACTACAGTGGCAGAGTTGAGTAGTTGTGACAGAGGAATAAAAAGCTTGCCAACATGTGCTTTTTTGTGTAGATACTGTTTATATCTTCTTTTTTCGACACACATGTGAGCACACCTTACACAGTTATGCATTCTGCTTATTTCTCTTTCACAGTGTATCATGGGGGTCGTCCCACAAGGGCAGATGCAGGTGTGTCTCAGACTTTTGCCCATAGTATGGATGTAATTAATCCATACCTCACGTGGTGGAAGGGGTAAGGGAGCTCTCTGGGGTCTCTTCTTATAAAGGCACTAATTCCATCAATGAGGGCCCCACCCTCATGACCTAATCACCTCCCAAAGCCCCACCTCCTAATGCCGTCACCCTGGGGCTTAGGTTTCAACATGTGAATTTGGGGAGAGACATAAACATTCAGTCTATAGCAGTGGGGTTCACTGGGCTTTCCCCTTCTGACTTCAGATCTATATCTCATAAGGATCCGAAGGTAGACTCACGATGGATGCTCCTTTTAGGCTCAGGTGGGCCATTTGCATCTCCACTGACCCCTTAATGACATCTAATTGTGTAGACCAATTCTGCCCAAACCAGAGTAATCTCTCCCCAAATATGCTGAGCAGAAGTGCAGACACTAAAAGTTACACAGTACTTGTATTTTAGGAGTTTACATAATTGGCTATTCTATTTGGTCACCAACATCTCTCACAATTCAGATGTAGTTAACACAGAATACCACAAAATACCACCATTCTATATATTCTCATTCCCTTATTTCTGGATTCTCATAAGAGTGAGAACCTTGTTTTATTTACCTTGGGGCCCAGCATTCTGCCTGGCATGTGAAAGGTACCCAGTGAATTTTGATTGAACGGAGCTAATTTTCTCTTAGTTCTCTTTCTCTTATTTTAACTGTATTATTCCTTTTTCCTCTTCCAGAATGAAGACATTCAAATGCTGTTTTAAATACCCAGCACAGCAGAAAGTTTTCATCTTATTTGTAACTCTATGGCTGTTCTCCTTGTTGAAGCTTCTAAATGTGAGGAGCCTCCTCTTCCCTCAAAGAGGCATTTACTTGGTTGAATCCTCCCTGAGTACCTCACCTTTTGTAAGGAACAGATACACCAGTGTGAAAAATGAAGTCAGGTATGAAGTTAACTGTTCAGGTGTCTATGAACAGGCACCTTTGGAAATTGGCAAGAGTCTGGAAATAAGAAGGAGGGACATCATCGACTTGGATGATGAGGATGTTGTGGCGATAACCAGCGATTGTGACATTTATCAGACCCTGAGAAAGTACCATCAAAAGCCTGTTTCAAGGGAGGAGAAGAGCTTCCCAATAGCCTATTCTTTGGTCGTTCATAAAGACGCCATTATGGTTGAAAGGCTACTTCATGCCATATACAACCAGCACAATGTGTACTGCATCCATTATGACCATAAGTCACCTGATACCTTCAAAGTTGCCATGAACAATTTAGCTAAGTGCTTCCCCAATGTTTTCATTGCCTCCAAATTAGAGACAGTGCAATATGCACACATTTCCAGACTCCAAGCTGATCTGAATTGTTTGTCAGACCTCCTCAGGTCCTCGGTTCCGTGGAAATATGTTATCAATCTGTGTGGGCAAGATTTTCCTTTGAAGTCAAACTTTGAATTAGTGTCAGAGTTAAAGAAACTCAATGGAGCAAATATGTTAGAAACGGTGAAACCCCCTAACAGTAAAATGGAAAGATTCACTTACCACCATGAACTCAGACAGGTGCCTTATGAATATGTGAAGCTACCAATAAGGACAAACATCTCCAAGGAAGCCCCCCCTCATAACATTGAGATATTTGTTGGCAGTGCTTATTTTGTTTTAAGTCGAGCATTTGTTAAATATGTTTTCAACAACTCCCTCGTTAAAGACTTTTTTGCCTGGTCTAAAGATACATACTCGCCTGATGAACATTTTTGGGCTACCTTAATTCGGGTACCAGGAATACCTGGGGAGATCTCTAGGTCAGCCCAGGATGTGTCTGACTTGCAGAGTAAGACCCGCCTTGTCAAGTGGAACTATCATGAAGGGCTTTTGTATCCCCGTTGTACCGGCTCCCACCTTCGAAGTGTGTGTATCTTTGGAACGGCGGAATTAAGGTGGCTTATAAATGATGGACATTGGTTTGCTAATAAATTTGATTCTAAGGTGGATCCTGTCTTGATTAAATGCCTGGCAGAAAAGCTTGAAGAGCAACAGAGACAATGGATTACTATGTCTTCAAAAAAGTTACTTATGGCTGAAAATCCCGTAATCACATCATGATAAAATCATGATAGAAAGAAGGCATCTGATAACTAGAGCTCATACGGACTTGTGTGCTACACCACACCCAGTACCATTCGAGCTTAACCTCCTCACAATTTGCGAGGTGCCCAAAATGCCACGCACAAAGGCGACAATTAGCCTGCATTTGGTTGGGTGTTTTTTGTTTTTCCTTGTAACCTTATGGAGCTAAATCAGAGATTTTAAACAGTCCATCATCAGAGCTCAGCAACTACTGATACTGAGCTCCAACTGTATGCCAGGTACTTTTATAGAAATGTGTAGGAATTAGATTCAAATTGTAATGAGTTATACAATGCCTTCAAGGCTTGCCCTAGTTCCACAGCAACCTTAGTATCACGTTCTCCACATAGCAGTCAGGATTCTACTGAAAAGGTGTTGGAGAGTGGGATAATCACATAACCACTGAAACCACCAATTTCAGGGTAGTGTTTAAGTATAATGACCAACACTCCACTTGTCTCTTAATTCAGCTCCCCAGACTTGTCTTAGCCATTAGAATATTAGGAGAAACTCCACTACCTCAGGAAAGCTCAAAGAATTGTCCAGTTTCCTGCTTGCCAAAGCATTTTCCTATTGGTGCCTCACCCTTTCAATTCAGAGTCAGAAGACTCTGTTGGCGGGGCATATAGTGTGTGAATGTTAGGGAGGCTGGGTGGGGGGTGGGGGGACTGGGACAGGTGGTGCCTGAAGGGAAACAAAGGGATTTATAGGACTTTAGAATCATGTTGCACAATGGTTTCATGAATGGTCTCTTTTTTAATTCAATTAGTTCTTTAAAATTATTGATTAAAAATAAGAACTTGATTATTAGTTCAAAGCGTTACATTCCCGAACGTAGAACTTAAGTCTTCTAGCTCATAGATTATCATTATATGTAGGTTTTTTACAGTGTAATTAGTGTAATTTTGTGCTATGGAGCCATTAAGCTAAGAGCCACTGAATTTTCTTGAAAAGGTTGTGTAAAATATGACAGCTTTCTAAATTAACTCTTATGGTCATTTAAAATTTTTGCTTACGTCTCCAGTAACTATCCAAGTAGAATCCAAACTTAAACTTACAAAAGCTCTAAGCCCACTAAAGTCTTCTCAGCTTAGATACAGAGAGAAAAAGCAAAGTTTCTTTAGGACATAGCAAGAATATTCATTAGTGGTATTTTGTAAAACCTACACCTTAGAAAACCCCTAAACAAATCAAATATACACCTATTTTAATGTCACTGTATTGTGCCGGAGGTGAAATGGGACAGGAGCAGCGTCCTGAGAACAGGTTGTAACATTTTTTTACATCTCTTGGGAAATCATGGAACTCATGTAAAAATTTCTTGCTGATCTTATGTTTCAGTGTCAGCCTCAGCATCTATGTAAAGATGTAGTAATCATGGCCAATATGAGACTATTTGGAAGACTAGAGTATTTAAATCTTTTTGTAAATGTCTGTGTTCTACATGTGAAATGCACTTTGCTGGTTTTAAAGTTTATGATACTGACTGCCAAGTGGTACCACTTCTCTCCAGCTCATTTTTCTTCTTCTTATCCCCCGCAGCCTTCACATTACTTCATTCTTCAGAAAACAACTATGACCAAGCTCCTGTTCTTAAAAATAAGTAACTGTTGGGGGCGCCTGGGTGGCTCAGTCGGTTAAGCGTCTGACTCTTGGTTTCAGCTCAGGTCATGATTTCAGGGTCATGATATCAAGCCTCACACAGGGCTCCATGCTCAGTGAGGAGTCTGCTTAAAATTCTCTCCCGCTGCCTATCCCCCCCCAAAATAAATAAATGTTTAAAAATAAATAAATCTTAAAAAGAAAATAAGTAACTGTTGGACAGAGTTAAGTTCTGCAGAAGATACTTATCAGTTTGATTGTGTGTGTGATTGTGACAAGCTAAGTCATTTTGGTCTCTATGAGCCTCAGTTTTCCTGGTCTTTAAAGTGAGTACTTGGAGCCTACCCTGGCCTCCTCACACTGTGTGTGTGTGTGTGTGTGTGTGTGTGTGAGAGAGAGAGAGAGAGAGAGAGAGAGAGAGAGAGAGAGAGAGAGAATCAAAATAGTGTGTGAACTGGTTTAAAAATGGAGACAAACTATCAACAGTAAATATCAGAGAGTAGTCTCATTACAGGGCAAACAGAGATCCAGCCCCATTGTGTGACTTTACCATTTACCTCTTCTGGAAAACCTTTGAAATATAAAAGAAGCCACAATCATAGGAGCAACTTCTGTGAATCAATCTAGGTACAAAGAATCCCGTTACCACATCTGGAGTTCTTTTTAAGCCAACAGGATCAGCACATCGATCCAGTGGCTTGGATCAATTTTTTCTGCCTTGTAGGCTTCAACACAAGGTCCCACTGAAATCTTGGTTTTTATGCATTTGGCCATCAGAATAAATGAAAAGTAAATATCGATCTCCTATCCAGTGTCTTGCCTCCTGGTGAGAAATGATTCTATCCCTGGAAATTTTCCAGTTGTTAATTACTTTCATGCCATACTCCAATGAAACATGGCCCCAGTGCCTTCTTGTCCCCATTGACATATTTCCTGGGATTCAGTTCAACATTTCAGGGAGCTTGTCAGGTCATCTCTTTTGCCTTGGGAATCCTGCAGTTTCCTTACATGTCTTTGAACCTCCTTCAGACCTGATTAAAACCTTTTGGTATGATTTTTTTCTGGTCTAGAAAATGTTTTACAGTCTGTATTTTATAGTCATCCTTTGCATAGTATTTATTGAATCTAGATTCTAAGTTATTTGGCAACAAGACCAGGACCTTGAAGTCTGTAAATTGTATTAGATATTAATAATGAAAGAGCTACTAATATAGATCTACATTATGTGAATGATCTACTATAACATTATAATATTTAAAGATCAATGTTGCTGCTATTTTTAATGTTTTGGTTATTCTAAGTGGAAAAAATATATATATATACACAAATAAAATGTTTAAATTTACAGAACTAAATTTGAAGATTTCTCTTGCCTTCCAGAATGTGAATATTATACAGACACACACATATATATATTTTGACATATTTCATGAAAACAAAAATGACAATCCTTTTTGAGAATGGAAAGTGAATGTACTATATGTATGTTACAGCCGTTTTTGTTGTTTTTTTTTTTACCATTTTTGAAAGACATATTTCCCATTATAGGAGTTTTAAATAGACTGATGTTGCATTTTGATATTATGCTGCTAGCAGATGTTAATTCTCTTGGATTGTAAAGTAAAATATGCTCCGAAAACCAAACCCCTGGAATTTGTGATGTTTCCTTTCTCTCCTGGTACCGGTTCCCCACAAAGACTCTTTCCATTTATGACACTTGCCCAGTATTTGAAGAGCACAGTTGATTTCACTTCAGAGTTAAAGAATTCGTGTGTGTATAATACACAAAATATGGGCACTTGAAATTGAATTGTTTAATTTGAAGGAATCTTTCAGGATCTGTCTTCATTCTCCCCCAGATTGACTTCTCGTCTAAGATGAATTATCTAAACAAGTATTCCTGTGTGCTGGATTACTTTGTGGACGTTATAGGTAGGGGAGACCGAGCTCTTCATGTCAGGTCCCTTGGTCCCTGGAGAATCAAGCCTCTTCTCTCCACACCAGGACCCCTGCCTTGGGGTGAGCCCCCTGGGCCCTTAGGTTTGGTTGGTGGCTGATTCCTGGTGAACTTCCCCTCTGTTCTGAATATCACCACCTTTCCTAGCTCTGCTAAGCTAAGGACTATTTCATATGGCTGATCTCTATGCCTCCCACACACTCGGAAAATGCCCCGACCAGTGTTCTTCTGTCATCCTGTGTAAAGCCATAAGTCACCAACGTCCCAAGCTGGCAAGGAGTATGCAGGTCACACTCACAAATCACAATCCACCTCAAGGAATAAGGCCATTTTGGGAATCTTCGACATAATAAAAATTAACATCTACTCTTAACCTATGATTAATTCTTGCTCTTGCCAAACTGGACAACGATGCGAATCCACAGTACTCTCATGGAAGGATTTGGACTTTTGGTAGCAGTCGCGGGTGGGGTATTTATCATCATATTGAAGACCCATAGGCTTGATTCCTAGGTGATCAGTTCTATATATTTTTTATTCCCTTTGGGATCTACAAATCTACATATGAACTAGGACAAGTGGTTTCTCATTTCATGAAACTGATTATGGGGAAACCCTGGCAGAGAGAACAGATGATTGCAAATTTATTCCCACTGTTGGAAAGATATTCCTGGGAAGATGCATAACAAACAGCTTGAGCTTTGCTTCAAAGACAAATGATCAGTGTATCAACACACATGGGTATGTTGACTATTCACCTGGCCTCAGGTGTGGCCTTCACATAGAGCGGCAGAGTCCTTCCTGGGAGCATCTGGGATTGAATCATGGAGAAGACAAACAGCCAGAAGAGAATCTGAGGGAAAAATATGGTCTGTGACTTGGGTGAATTTATTTTACTTTTTTTGTTGTCATTGTTATAGAATAAAAGATATGTAAACAGAAATCATTTATATTCATAATTCTAACACCCTGACAAAACCATTATAGTTCTCTGAATGTTTTTTTAATTTATTTAAATTCAATTAATTAACATGTAGTGTATTATTAGTTTCAGAAGTAGACTTCAGTGTTTCATCAGTCTTTTTATTTTATTTTTATTTATTTTTTTATTTTTTAAAGATTTTATTTATTTATTTGACAGAGAGAGACACAGCGAGAGAGGGAACATAAGTAGGGGGAGTGGGAGAGGGAGAAGCAGGCTCCCCGCTGAGCAGAGAGCCCGATGTGGGGCTCGATCCCAGGACTCTGGGATCATGACCTGAGCAGAAGGCAGATGCTTAATGACTGAGCCACCCAGGCACCCCTCATCAGTCTTATATAACACCCAGTGCTCATTACATCACATGCCCTCCTTAATGCCCATCACCCAGTTACCCCCTCCCCCCACCCATCTCCCCTCCAGCAGCCCTCAGTTTGTTTCCTAGAGTTAGGAGTCTCTTATGGTTTGTCTCCCTCTCTGATTTCATCTTGTTTTATTTTTCCCTCCCTTCCCCCATGCTCCTGTTTTGTTTCTTAAATTCCACATATGAGTGAAATCATATGATAATTGTTTTTCTCTGATTGACTTATTTTGCTTAGCATAATACCCTCTAGTTCCATCCACATCATTGCAAATGGCAAGATTTCATTTTTTGATGGCTGTGTGATATTCCATTGTATATATATATACCACGTCTTTTTTGTCCATTCATCTGGCTCTTTCCATAGTTTGGCTTGTGGACATTGCTGCTATAAACATCGGGGTGCACGGGCGCCTGGGTGGCTCAGTCGTTAAGCGTCTGCCTTCGGCTCAGGTCATGGTCCCAGGGTCCTGGGATCGAGTCCCACATCGGGCTCCCTGCTCCACGGGAAGCCTGCTTCTCCCTCTCCCACTCCCCCTGCTTATGTTCCTGCTCTCGCTATCTCTCTCTCTGTCAAATAAATAAATAAAATCTTCAAAAAAAAAAATTTAAACATCGGGGTGCACGTACCCCTTCAGATCACTACATTTGTATCTTTGGGGTAAATACCCAGTAGTGCAATTGCTGGGTCATAGGGTAGCTCTATT